CAAAGGGTAAAAATAAATGGTAAATTTCAGAATGGAAAGATGTAACTATTGGTGTTTCACAAGGGTCAGTCCTAGGACCAATCCTATTCAACTTATTCATAAACGATCTAGAGAAAGGGGTAAGCAGTGAGGTGGCAAAGTTTATGGACGATACTAAACTGTTCAAGGAAGAACTTCAAAAAGATCTCACCAAACTGAGCGATTGGGCAACAAAATGGCAAATGAAATTTAATGTGGATAAGTGTAAAGTAACGCACACTGGATAAAATAACCCCAACTATACGTACAGTATGATGGGGGCTAATTAAGCTACAACTAATCAGGAAAGAGATCTTGGAGTTATCATGGATAGTTCCCTGAAAACATCCATGCAATGTGCAGCAACAGTCAAAAAAGCAAATAGGATGCTAGGAATTATTTAAAAAGGGATAGAAAATAAGACGAAGATCTTACTGCCCCTATATAAAACTATAGTACGCCCACATCGTGAATACTGCGTACAGATGTGGTCTCCTCACCTCAAAAAAGATATTTTCGCATTAGTAAAGGTTCAGAAAAGAGCAACTAAAATGATTAGGGATTTGGGATGGGTCCCATATGAGGATAGGTAAAGAGACTGGGACTTTTCAGTTTAGAAAAGAGGAGACTGGGGGGGGATATGATAGAGGTATATAAAATCATGAGTGGTGTGGAGAGGGTGAATAAAGAAAAGTGATTTACTTGTTCCCATAATATAAGAACTAGAGGACACCAAATTAAATTAATGGGTAGCAGGTTTAAAATTAATAAAAGAAAGTTCTTCTTCACACAGTGTGTAGTCAACCTGTGGAACTCCTTGCCAGAAGAGGCTGTGAAGGCTAGGACTATAACAGAGTTTAAAAAAGAGCTAGATAAATTAATGGAGGTTACGTCCATAAAAGGCTATTAGCCAGGGGGTAAGGAATGGTGCCCCTGGCCTCTGTTTGTTAAAGGCTGGAGAAGGATGGTAGGAGACACATTGCTTGATCACTGTCTTCAGTCCACGCCCTCTGGGGCACCTGGCATTGGCCACTGTCGGCAGACAGGATACTGGGCTAGACGGACCTTTGGTCTGACCCAGTATGGCCATTCTTATTTCTCATATTCACAGTCCATGACTTGTTTTTCCATGCCATGAATTTGGTAGGGCCCTAATTATAAATTCATAAATGAAAGAAATGCAAATACAACACTATTTCAGAGATTAATAGATTGACTGATCATGAAAATGTTGACTGTTCAATGACGTTTGTGGTAAAGTTGGCATGCAAATGAAGTCAACTATAATTTACTGCAGGCATTGCTTCTAGTAAATGAGTTGCTTTTACAAAATGTTAAGTGACTAACCTATACCATTCTCTCCACCTCATTTACCTTATTTTTCTGTATGAGATGAAAATCTTTCCCATAAATCAGAAGTGCATGCTCAAAGTTTCTACATTCTTCTTCTGTCCAAGCTGTCATCTCTTCTAGATGATTCCCAAAAAAAGAACAGCACTTATTTTCAGATAATTTCCATCAGATACTGAGTTACAAACATTTTTATTGATAAAATGCATGAAAATCCTAATGCTCTTTGAAGAGCAACTACTAAATTATTTAGAATACATCTTATTCTTAATACACCAAGGGCTCTAATTAAAGTAATACGCTTGTTTAGAAAAATGACAATCTGCTAATCATCAACTCTGGATGCAGTAATTTCTTGGATGAAGGATGGTTGCAGAGTTTCATTTATTTATTTTTTTCTATTTATAGTCATCTAGGGCAAGGTGCACAAAATGGCTTGGGCACCTACCTGCTCCTTTAAGTATTTAAATCCACATTTAGACACCACCAAGATCCTCAAAACTCTTGTTTAACTGCTGCCTGACCCTGGAGGCATCTAAAATCCTTAGGTGCCAGAGTTTCCACCTAGGGGCTTGACTCCATTAGGGATGTAGAATCCTGACTAATTAGTTAACTGATATAATGGGGGCAGACAGGGCTGCTCCGACCGGGCTGGAGTTTCCCCCCGCCTGCAGCAAACCCTGTAGGGCTGGAACCCATGACAGGTGGAGGGATTGCTCCACCCTAATATCAGTTAACCAGAACTGGTAAGCACATCCAGTAAGGGTGATGCTTACCAGTTAACCATTCACATCCCTAGTCCTCTTACCAGGAGATGAATGCTGTGGAGATCGATTGACAGCTGGAGATGAGTATCTTAGGTCGACTGTCTTCCCTAGTGTAGGCCTGGACTAAGTTTCTGCCAAACAGCATGCACACAGCTGTCTCAAGTCACCTCAGGGACCTATCTCATACCTAAACCCAAAGAGGATCCGCTCACCAGAAAGGCCCAATCCAGCAGGCATTTTCAGAGTATGCCTAAATCCAGACAAAGCTGCTGGGGGGAAAATGTTGGCTGACCTTATAACCTTTGAGCCAGTTGTTAAGGAACTCATCTCAGATGTGGGAGACCCAGATTCAGTTCCCACTCTGCTTAATGTCATTTACCCCACTTGGATTTTCCACTCCTCAGGTGATTGCCCTAGCAGCTGGACTATGGAATATTCTGGTATGTCTCTCTCTCAATCTGTCCTATTAAAGGTATTCCATTGTGTATAAATAAATATACTTCAGCCCAGAGAAAGAATCTATAGTTCAGTGATTAGTGCATACACCTGAGCAGTCACTTAGCTGAGTTCAAATACTTTGTCTACATCAGATGTGGAGCGTGGTAGAGGATTGAACTTGGGTCTCCCATACTGCATCTGGAACCTGAACTACTATGCCAAAAGTTGAGAGAGAGAGAGCTCTCTGTCACCTCCTGCATTTCTTGACCAAAAAAGGCGCTCGAAGCTGAGAACTCAAACAGAGATAGATGCCTAACTACCTGAGACAAGTAGAGGGTTAGGCCTCATTCTTTCCTAAGCATTTCCTATTGGCTAAGTTAGGTGGCTTCTCATTCAGCAGGCTGGCTTTAGTAGATCCCATTCTTAGCCACCTAATTTACCCTATGCATTGTACAGGAAGTGTGGACATCTAACATGGGGCTGTGGCTTCCAGTAGGTGGCTAGATGCTTAAATATTATATTTGCAATGTCTCAATTCCTTTGTGAATCTGGGCCCAAATCTGCCAAGCTTTGAAGAAGAAGAAAAAAAAAACACCACCAGCATGTGAAGCAGAATAGGCAAAGAAAAAACTGATTTCAACACATGCACACAGATCAAAGAAAAAAACTTGTTTTCATGGGGTTGCAGAGCTTTCTCCTATTAGGCACCTCAACTTAGTATCTAAGCATTATAACACATGGTTTAATGGCATGTGGTTCGTATTCTATATATGGATCATTTTAACCTACACTACACTTGCTTTTTCGAAGTTTGATATTATTGCTACTCAGTTTTTTAAATACTGTAGTGAACTGTGTATTAAACACTAAGTTAAGTAATCTTCATCAATGTCCATCACCATTTTCCTCATCTCCATTCTCCCACCAAAGTGTATAATAGCAGACAATCTCTGTTGAGGCATAATTTGTTTTAATTTTGTTTGACATTAAAGTATACTGAAAGGGGACATGTATTTATCTTATCAAGGAACAAGACACTAAAGAGGCAAAACAAATTTCTGTACATTTATTATGAGGCAGTTTGGGTTCTAAGTATAGGTTGAAACTCTATTAACTGGGATTCTCTGATTCGGCAACATCGATGGTCCAGCACGGATGTTGCAGAACCAGAGAGTCCCTGGTGGAAGGCCAGTGGCAAAGATCCCTGCAGGGCCATCAGGGCAGTGGGCTGCCTTCAGTGAACTGAGAGTGTTTCTGCCCAGTTAATGACAGCATAGCCGCCTGGCAGGGCTAGGAGCCGCGGTAGCTCACTGGAGCAGGGAGCTGCAGCTGCCTGGCAGGTCCCAGAGCCCCAGCACGTTGCATGTGGCTACCTGGAGGGTCCTGGAGTCATGGCAGCAATAGCTGCCCAGCAGGGCAACAGGAGGTCTGCGAGGCCAGCAGGCCGGGCCAGAAATGATCCCCCCTGGTTCGGCAATACCCCTCATCTGGGACCGATTAAGTCCCAAGGATGCTGGACCAGGGAGGTCCAATCTGTAGTAATTACTGCTTATTGCTTTAAATGTCCTTTTTGTATTATTGTTACTCAGTAAAACAAAATCATTTCACCTTACGGGCAATACACATAAACTCTTTGCCAAAAAAAGAATTTCCTGCTAAGTGAAATCGTAAGTTATTTAAAAGTTGGCTAATCAATTAACTCTAATACCAGCCCCTACCAGTTTCCAAAACAGGATTCTGGTAAAACTTTGTGGCGAGTAGATTCAAGGAGTACAAGTCACTTGTCACTGAAATTTAACCTGCCAGCAAGCCCAATACAGCAAATTGAAATTCCTATTGGTATGTCACACTAGTCCCCCTAGTTCGAACTAGGGTGGCTAATGTAGGCATTCGAACTTGCAAATGAAGCCCGGGATTTAAATATCCCGGACTTTATTTGTATGTTCCCGGGCGGGCGCCATTTTTAAATGCCCTTAGTTCGAACTGACTGCCCATGGCTATATGCGGCAGTCAGAAGTGAATCTGAACTAAATCCTTAGTTCGGATTAACTGTTACTCCTCCTGCAATGAGGTGTAACAGTTAATCCGAAGTAAGGACTTAGTTCGGATTCACTTCTGACTGCCGCGTGTAGCCGCAGGCAGTCAGTTCGAACTAAGGGGATTTAAAAATGGCACCCGCCCGGGAACATACAAAGGAAGCCCGGGCTTCATTTGCAAGTTCGAATGCCTACATTAGCCACCCTAGTTCGAACTAGGGGGACTAGTGTAGACATACCCCATGATAGGACCCTGGGAGAGTTCCATGGACTGAACACTTTCCTCTGATCTCAAACTGCTTCTACAAGGATAACTTTCTTACTGTGCAGCATCCTTTTACATTGCTGGGCTTTAATCTTACTTTGCAAATCTTTCCTTGTAAGAAAGGAAATATTAAACAGATTACTTGTTTTAACTTTCTCATGTTAGTTTATCAAACTTTGTTTAAAATAAAGTAAAATATTAATTTATGTCTAACACAAAGGTTTCAATGTTTTATTCATGGTAGGGGTGGGGAACCTTTTTTTGATCAGGGGCCACTGACCCATATGAAAAAAAAAAATCAGTTGGGGACCACATAAGTGAGGAGCAAAAAACACCTCCAGAACCCTCAACCCTCACTGAATATGACCCCCAACTGAGACACCTCAATTCTCTGGTGCTCCAGTCCCATGGGAAGAGGGGGAGGGACAGGGATGACTGAAGTTCAGGGCTTCCCATGGGCCAGGTTTACTCTTCTGGGGTTTCGGGTTTAGTGGACACCCTAGGCTGAGGAGGGGACAAAAAGAAGGGATTCAGTGTGCGGGACAGGGCTGGCAATGAGTGAGATAGAGTGAGAGTGCAGGAATCTGGGTGGGAAGTGGGCAGCATGAGGGGGTGAGATCTGGGTGGGAGGTGGGGTACAGAATCAGAGTATCTGGCCGGGGGGGTAAGGGGACAAGAGCAAGGGAAGGTGCAGTGTGTAGCCAGGAGAGACAGTGCAGGAGCAAGGGTGGGAGTAGGGTGTCTGGCCAGGAGGGAGGGTGCAGGAGTGGGCTGGGGGAAGGGTGTCTGACTGGGGGAGCAGGTGCAAGAGCAAGTGAGTGAGCAGGAGCAGGCTGGGGGTGCGGGGTCTCAGCGGGAGGTGGTGTCGAAGCAGGGTGGGGGTGTGGGGTCTGGGCACGAGGGGCACTTACAATACCTGTGAGTGGCATGGGGCACGAAAGAAAGTATCTCAGGCACGGCCTCCTGCTGCTTCCATTGGACAGATTCTGGCCCATGGAAGCAGTGGGGAAAGCCTTCAGGCAGCACATCAATGTGCTTCTGTTTCCCCAGCTGGAGGAGGGGGAGAGGCAGCAGGAGAAGCCACTTCTGGCTCCACTTTGCTCCACTTCTCCCCCATGAGGCAGATCCGGCGGGGAGGCTCAGGGCTCTCCCCCCACCCCCAAAGGCAGCGCTGGCACTCCAACCTCGCGGGGGAAGGGACACGAGGCTGGAGCGCCAGTGTGGGCTCCCTGCTGCAAGGAAAGGGAGGGCAGGCGAAGGGAGTTGAGCTGGAAGGTAGCCACGGATCATCAGTAGTCTGCAGACCGCAGTTTGAGAACTACTGCTCTACAGTGCAAATATTCATTATACACAGAATATTTTTATTACGTGATGTAACAGCAACCATTTTATCCTTACCACATCTTCACATATTTATCACATTATACTTACTAGCTAAAAAGTCTCACTAAATAAATGAAGGAATAATTGTTCACTTCAAATGATACAGCACGCAATACATAGTATGGCAAATAAAATTAGTAGGACTACAAATGTGGCACATTACAACACTGGAGATTAAAGCTGTAACATGTAACAAGGTAAGAATATCATATTTACCAACTTGTCATCAGAACGGTATTTTGAAACTGTCCAAAAGCCTTAGTTGACTTCATGGACTACAGGTTGAACCTCTCTCTTCTGGCACTCTGGGAACTGACTGGTATTGAACCAGAGATTTCACCAGACCATGGAAGGTCAATGTTGTTTAGCACTATTACCAACACTTCCACTGCTTACCAGGCTCTTAGAAGACATGTAGGGGTAAATTAGAGCTAAATAACAGCACAGAACACCAAGAGCCAGGTCTGGTGGCTGTTAGGGATATAAAATCCTGATTAATTAGTTTAACCAATGAACTGATTCATCTGGCTCCTAGGCCCCAAGTTCCCAGACCCCACACTGAGACAGGGGCCACTACTGCCAGCTTCCAACGCTCATGCTGGGGCTGGGGCCACTGCTGCCAGCTCCCACACTAGAGCTTCTGGCTCCCAGCCCTGTGCAAGGGCCCAGCAGGGCTGGAGCAGCCCTCCACCGAAGCTAGGCCATGGGTGCGGGGCTGCTCCTGGGCACCAGATAACCGTAATCCAGTAAGCATCACCCTTAACCAGTTACCTGGTAAGCATCACCGAGTAACTGGTTACCCATTCACATTAGTAGTTGCTTTAAACAAACTTTATGGGACTGCAGAAAATCTGACCACAATCATGATAAGTGGCCATCTGGCTAAATAAAATCATTCAGGATCATGGATGTTACCAGACCAGAGAACGCTGGACTACAGAAGTTCAACCTATATTTCCTGAAGTTTGGTCTGTGGAATAACAAAAGCATCCTCACCTAGAACTTTATAAAAACAGGACTGCTTATAATGCGTCTTTTAAAAAAATAAATCATTTTTACTTCATTTTCCCACATTTCCACAGCCTGCTTTAGGGCTTAACCCTGCATGGTATTGAGTTCTTTCAGCTTCTTTCTAAGTCTGTGACAGTTGAAGGAGATTAGCACCATTCAGAAGATGTACATAGTACCAAGCCCTTAGTTTTCCTTTGCTTTCATCTGTGCATAGGGGTGAAGGAGAACGTGCGGAGAAAAAAAACACCCCTCCATTATCTACACGGATCAGCTCTACTAACTTTTAAGAAAAGCATAAAGGCTGGGGACAAGAAGTGGAAAACACAAACTGACCTACACTACTACTACACAGTGGAGCTATCCTGTGTTGATAAAACACTGTCAGGGTTCAGTACAGAAAAGGGTGGGGCCATGTCACAGAGTTACTTGATTATCGAGCAGCCTTGGCATGAGTCAGAGTACCCTGCAGACTGCTCTAACTTAACATAATTTCCTCTGATTTCAGTAGTTCTATAAACTGGCTCAGAAATGCCACAGAGGAGCAAAGCAGCTTTGCTCCACTTCCTCTCCACCCCCATCAAAGTAGGGAAGAGTGAAACGGTTGGTGTAGGAGCTAGTTCTACCATCTTTACACCAGGTGTGAATTCCGCTAGAAGAAATTCTCAACTGGCCAGGTAGGGTCATGTTACATCTACTTTGTTCCATTTAAGTGGTGAAAAGGGTCACTTGCTAGGGCTGAGAACCTGATCCTAGTATTTCTATACATTATAACTTTGAAGAGAGTCTTAAAGTATTCATAACATTTCGTAAATCTCTTACCTTGAGATGCCTTTCCATTTGAGCAATACCTCTCAATTGCTTCTTTTATATTATGATTACATTTGAGAAGTTCATAGAGTGCCTATGAAATCAAGGACATATTTTTGTTTAAAAATAAGTTAGTATCTTACTCCTTAGCTACAATGTCTAGCTTCAGTGAGCAAACTTCATCTCGGTCAATTCTTAACTATACAAAATGAAAATTTCACAAAATAAAAAAGACACTACTTAAAATAGTAATGTGAATAGGTAACTGGTTACCAGATAAGCATCATCCTTACTGGGTAATGGTTAAATGGGTCCCCCACATCCCACATCAGAGACAGCAATGTGGGGTGCCAAGCAGGAGCCGGTCTGCAAGGAAAACCGGTTTAAAAACCAGCTCTCCATGCAGACCAGCCACCTGCTCCCCGAAGACAGAGGCTGATCCAGCACAGTCCTTGTCCACAGGGAATCCAAGCTCCCTGCAGACAGAGGCTCCTGCCACCTCCCAGGCTCACTGCAGACAGATGCTGCTCCATAGGATGCTCTGTCCAGGGGGGGAGCTTGGGCCTACTGTGGACAGAAGCTGCGCTTCACTGCAGCCTGCCCTGCTCCTCCCTCCCCACTGCTGCCTGTGGTAGAGGCAGCAACGCAGGGAGGGGATAGCGGCACCATGGAGCCAGTGCTGGGGGGAAAATCGGCTTTTAACTGGCTCCATCCCCCCCACCACTTTCTGTCTCTGATACAGGGCGTCCCTGCTATAAGTTGCGCCGGTATACATCCATTCCGCACTTGTAAGAACTGATGTGTTATAAGTCCTCCCATTCTCTGCTCTAAAGTTGAACACAAAAAACCCCCCAATTTGTGCAAATGGAAGTCAGCCATGGGAAAAAAATTCCCCACTTTAAGTAGTTTTGCTCTAAGTCCAAGTGTTTTGGAACACATCTTGAACTTATAGCAAGGACAGCCTGTACAGGGAAATGGGGGGGAAAATGCGTGTAGCCTAGGCTTATCAGTTAATCATATAGTCGACTACACGTTGACATACCTATGGTTAACCATGGCTGGCGGCTGGGGCCAGAAGCTATCCTCAGCATGTTTACCGGGTAACAGTTAACCGGTTTCCCTCCAGCTCTGGGGAGAAGTTGATGGTTAACAAGGGCTGACGACTGCGGCCAAAAGCCAGTCCCGCAGAGCTGGGGGCTGCTCTAGTCAAGCTGGAGTGCGCCCCGCCTGGGATACTGCTTTGTCAGTTAAATGGTTAAATGTTAGGTTAAACTAACATTTAACCAGTTAACTGATTAATCAGGATTTTACATCCCTAATTTAAAATAAGATTTCACAAAGAAGATATACTTGGATATCTAAACTTGATGTGAGGTATATGAGATCTGTTTTGTTAAGAACATAACAACCATATACACATGCTGTATCACAAACACTGACATTAAAGACCCATATGCCCAAGTACTCACAGGGGTCATACTTTGCACTTCCTGTAAAAAAGAAATGTTTGACTATTGTACTACTCCTTTTGCACATATGCACAATGAGAACACCCACTAGTTTGGAAGCAATGTGCCACAAATGGATAGGATAGAACACATACCTGTTCATTGTCGCGAGTGTGTATTCCTTCAGGAATTCTCCCAATAGCTTTTTCAGTTCCAGTTCTTAACGAAGTCTCAAAAAGGTATTCTTTAACCTTAATCTCTGAAACCACCTCAGGTCTCCAAAGTAACTGATCTTCATTTTCATACACTGTGAAGAGGAAAAATCCACTGAGATACAAATAAGCGGTATGTAGGAAGCTTGAGGGGGTGTGTGTATGTGCTGAGAGAGAGTGAGAGAAAGCACTTATTCTTGGTGTTTTTGATATTATAGATTAAAAAAATATCATCTGATGTAAATATATGAATTTATATACGTTAGCTTCTAGCACAAATGTTTTAGATCTATGGAGTAAGAAATCACCAGCTTCCCCAAAGACAGAAAACAAGAAAGTAGCTAGAGATAATAAAATCAAACATACTGACAGTATCTTGTCACATGCACAAATACCAGCCCTCTTCACATCCTTTCTTTCCATATGCCTCACTGAAGAGATATGCCTTGCACTGTACCACAAATATGAACAGATTCAGGCTACATTGGAACAAGGAAGGAAAGGACTGAATTCTAAGGGCAAGGATTTATCACAAAAAACAATATATTGGCCCTAGAGAATACCAAAAAAAAATAATAATCAAGAAATAGATGCATATTTACACATTACATAAAGTTGAGTGTTTTACAACTAACTGATATAGTCACACCTTTGTTTGCTTAGACTTGCACACAATCCTAGAAAACAGTAAAAACATTAATCAATAAATGAGCGATAAAAATATTAATTATAGCACTAGCATTTATTCTTTGGTCAGTTCAAATACTTTCCATGCTGGAAAAAAAAAATGCATAAGCATCCATTGTCTTCAAAAAACTTCTTGTTATATTATTAAAGAGGCTGGTCTGGATGCTAACATTTAGATTTCTGCCTCAAGTAGTAAACAGCTACTTGCATATATGTTCTGCAATGAGTCTGGGTTGGGTACTTATAGCTATTAGGTCAAATCACAGTAGAAAAAAAAATATAATATGCAATTAAGTGGCTTTTATAAATATCTTCTACATATATCAAAATGCAAGACATGACTTGAACATTAATGGTCATTGACAGCAAACATTCATTAAAATTTAAATCCTAATTTGTCTATTACAATATGTAATGTTACAAACTGAAATTTTTTACATTACATCCAGCCTGCACACAATGCAAAATTAGATAAAGTATCTAATCAAGGTAGTCAAATAACTCAAAGGCTGATACAGCTCAAGATAGTGAGGATTTGCAGTTCCTACAGTGAGGAGGGATAAAAAACCATGTCACCTCAAAAGATTTTTGCTGCCCAATAAAATAGAAAATACTTTCACAAACAGTAACATTACAAGACTGAATTTAGAGCTCTTTCAGGGAACACAAAGCCCATACCACCAGAATCATCTCTGCTTTTGTCACTGTTATCAAGGATATACATTTAATATGTTTTATGGACTTCTAATCTCTAAAAATGAAATCTTAGGAAACATCAGGAGTTTTATTTAAAAAAACCCCATAAGACTACTGAAACATTACAGCTGTGCAAACCTTCAACTGCTCCTCCCTACATCTTATCCGTTCGTTATTAAAGAAAAAATGATACCTGGAAAGCCTAACTACTTAACACTATAATATTCAACTGTTTTAAGAAGTTGACATTTCCCTATCATTGTATTTAACTTTAAATAGCTAACAGTGACCCCAGAAAGGAAAGAGGAATAAAAATGGAGTTATAAACAAATGGCATAATGGAATCGGAAACATCTCCAAAAGCATCCACAGTCTTGATGTGCTTAATTAGATTTGTTTTCTGATAGAATTTTACAGGTAGAATATCTGAAGAAGTGGGTTGTGCCCATGAAATCTCAATACCACCATCTACATTTTTTGTTAGTCTCAAAGGTGCTTCAGGACCATTCATTGTTTAAGTTTACAGGTAGAACAGTTAATTCAAAACAATTTTGAAAATTCACAGAAAAAAAATGAATACCATCTATTTATTGTTGCACTCTACTCAGTTGCAAGATTTCATGATGTTTTAAGTTTCAGTTTTAATATTTACCTTTTCAGACTCTTATAGTGTTTCTGCATCAACTTTCTGTATGGTAAATGTTGGTGCAGAAACACTATAAGATTCTGAAAAGGTAAATATTAAAACTGAAACTTAATACATCATGAAATCTTGCAACTGATTAGAGTGCAACAATAAATAGATGGTATTCATTTTTCCCTCTTTGAAATTTATTTTGCCTCATTTTTATAGGGACAGAATCATACAACAAATGGAATAAAGAAATGCACATTTATAGAATGATCACGGGATTTTTTTTTCAAGCCAGTAAAAGGAAATTATTTTGAACAGAGAGATTGTTGATTGATGGTTTTCTGCAGCAATTTTATACCCACAAACCTCTGCCAGCCTAAAGGCAATACAATAATATTCTTTGATTATGACTGAAGTGCTTGACCTCTCTGAAAGAGCAGCAAAGATGTTATTTTCTGAAAGTCGTATGGGAAACTGAATAATACACCTGATGGTCAACTGCAGTTTTAATTTTCTGTGGGTAACAAACACTTCCTTGGGCCATTTTATGGTTGGGTCTAGTATTATCCTTCTGGTTTAATATTTGATTTTTATGATTTCTCCTTTTCTATGAGTATTTTATACCCAAAGTTATTCACTGGGATTACATATTATAATGAGCTAATTTGGTTGTGCTGATTTGTCTATTTTGTCTTAGCTATTATTGTTATTATTCTGAGGTCAATTTTTTACTTTTGGTTTAAGTCATGTTTAATATTTATTTAACCAAGTAGAAGTAAAAAGAGGAACTTACCCTTTTCGTCATCACTGTACTTGCCCAGGTAAGGTGGAATTTCAGCCTGATACTGTGACCCAACCATTATTTCCTGAAGATAAAAAACAAAAACAAAACAACCCACACTTTAATATTACATTCCAAGACATATGAGTATTAAAGATGTCAATACAAGATGCATGTGATACCAGGATTAAAGCACCATCTTAAAACACATTAAAAAAATTGAGATAAAAATATATCGTAAGAAAAGTCCACTGAGATTTATAATATGTAAGTAATTAATACTTCAGGATTTACCTTCCTCAAATCTTCAGATGAATTACCATTGTCTGTCTCAACATATTCACCATCAGATTCCTTATCACCATCATACGTAGTGTTTGCTTTATAAGCACAAAAAAAAAGTTACTTTGTATTTTATAGTTTGCACATAGAACTACATGATTGCATCCATTTTGCTTTATTTTATAACTAAACAATACCATCTGTTTTCATTTAGAGAATGGTCAATAGCTGTTCTTGTTTTTCTGTGGAACTGCAGCATAAGAATCAAACAGTAGAAGGTACTATCACTACCACTGACAGTTTTAGAAATGGATAGCTGAGAGTCAAAGGAATTAAGAGTTTTCTTATGTTAATTTGTCTCAGAAGGCACTGCAAGTATAAAAGAGGCCTGGGGACCAGCAAGTGAAAGAGCCTAGTACTACAATTTAACCCCCGCCCCAACACAACTACAGCAAAATAATCTGGAAAACAATTGTTATCTACACTGTCCATCTGAAATTCTGTTTTCCAACTGCTTTAGATTTAGAATATTGAGCTAAAAAAGCATTTATCAATTTGGAAAGGTGTGCAGAAGGAGTTATGAAAGAGATATAATGAATACTAGGTGAAAAGAAAGTTAATTGTGTGCTCTTTACCCTTTCCTGTAAACAAGGACGAGAGGGCACTAAAACTAAAAACCAAATTAATAATTGGGTATTTGTCAAAAAATTAATCCATTTTTCTGTGATCATAATTCATTAGAAAGCTATCAGATTCTACAGCTGAATCATCAGTAATGTGAACAAAAACAAAACCCACTTAGAACATCCTGCAAGATGCCAATATTCCTCAACAATGACATAAATAGTGTCAGCAACGACTATTTTTCTATATATCTATAAAGTGCTTAGAATGTGTTGGCAATACTTCTAGTTTTCCTACATCTTAAGGGTCGAGGAAAGAAGTCTGTAGTTTCATGTGAAGTAACTGATGGTGTCAAGTCATCAGCAGAAGACTGTGTTTCTTCATCATCACCTGACAAAAGGTCTTTAGCTATTTCCTCCTGTATCATTAGAGAAAGAAAATGAAAGAATTAGAACTAAAAAACAGGATTCTGAGCCTTTAGAACTAGCAAGTTAGAGAATGTATTTGCTAATAGAACCTCTAACTTTTTTACCAAAAGTTATTCTATTCTTCTACACTCCCCTAAAACTTAAACACAAAAATCGGAATCACATCCCTGAGATTTTTGAAGTATAGAAAACAGTGCGAGTGAGTGGTTTTGTCTGCACTACTAAATACATAACAATGGTGATGTAGCTTCTGAAATATCAAAACATACATTGCCAGTCTACACTGGCCCCTTTTCCGAAAGGGGCATGTTAATTTCACAGGTCGTAATAGGGAAATCCGCGGGGGATTTAAATATCCCCCGCGGCATTTAAATAAAAATGTCCGCCGCTTTTTTCCGGCTTTTAGAAAAGCCGGAAAAGAGCGTCTACACTGGCCCCGATCCTCCGGAAAAAAGCCCTTTTCCGGAGGATCTCTTATTCCTACTTCAAAGTTATCTCTTATTCCTACTTATTCAAAGTAGGAATAAGAGATCCTCCGGAAAAGGGCTTTTTTCCGGAGGATCGGGGCCAGTGTAGACGCTCTTTTCCGGCTTTTCTAAAAGCCGGAAAAAAGCGGCGGACATTTTTATTTAAATGCCGCGGGGGATATTTAAATCCCTCGCGGATTTCCCTATTACAATCTGAAAAATTAGCATGCCCCTTCCGGAAAAGGGGCCAGTGTAGACAAGCCCTAGATGAAACTGAGATTCTTCAGCCTCCTCTGATTAAAACCACTTGAAGCTTGTACAAGGAATCTCCAAGCTGTGATTATTTAAACACACACACGCACGCTTGTTGGAATGAATTGCCCTCAGTGGAAAAAGCCACTGGGGGATTCCCTCATATCTGAAGAAGCCCAGGGATCTCTGGAGGCTTTGTAGCTGTACATCAACTTGGCCCCCTTGGAGTTTCCCCTACTCCCTAGCATCATAGCTCCACTGCAGCTGCCCCCCAGAACTCTGTGGAGGAGTTAATATAGTCCTGACACACATTTCTTTTTCTGAAGGTTCTTTGCAAGACTGCACAAAGTATGATGTAAATCCTGTGGTCCTGCCCAATTCAGTCTTCCCCTAACAGTGAACTGCAACTTCTACAGGGTTTGTAGATGATCCAATCCTCTCCTTCCCACTTGGAGAAGTTGGAGTAGAAGAGAACATGAATATTCATCAGGTAACAATCCAGACCAAGTGTTTTGTAACATGGTAACACTGAAATGTGCATCCTAATGGGACTTCAGAGTGCACATCGCTCCATTTTAAAGTTCAGGAGAACTTGGAAAACCCATCTTCAATTTAAAACACTGAAGTTTCAGGTTTTATTCTAGTTGATAATATACCCAATCTGTGCACATATGAACGTATCACTCACCTGCCATAAATCTAACACTTTTCATATCAGTTAAAGGGAATGCTCCAAAGTATTCAGGAGCAAATTTTCAAGTTAATTGTGTATCCACGGAAATTTGATACATTGTATGTATATTTAAAGCAATAAATATTAGTCCTAATTTCACACACACTACTAAAAGTTCTAAATTTATTTTTTTTAAAGTGATATTAAACAATGTAAACTACAAGTCTAATACCACAAATGATTCAAAATCTGATTCAATTTTTTTATCCTTGTATAAAATCAATAACTTCAATAAGCACATTGTAAGGAAGTAAAATCAGGGTCAGATTCTCAATGTCCATGAAGAAGAGTGACAGTTTAAAAAAAAAAAGTGTGGATGCTTGGCTTCATATTATCAAGAGGAAGACAAAGATCACACAAGTTCCTAGCTATAATCTAAAATAGAGGCAAAAATGTTTTCACTTACTTTGTCCAGAGTCATATCCGGCAGTTCATCTGCAAGTTCACTTGGGGAACTATCTGCACTGGAACCTGCTATAACTGGAATTGTAGGTTCATAGCCATAGAAAGCTAGTAAGTCTTCTAAAGGCATGCTTCCTTCCTAATATACGAAAAGATATAAATATTTTACCATTTAACATTATCAAACACTTCATATTGTTGTACAGGCGTAAAAGGACAAGAGAAATTCTCAAAAAATAAGTTTAATAGTGAAGTGAAATGGACTAACTCTCCAATTTAAAAAAGAAGAAAAATTCCTTTTTAGAAAAAAAATGGGTATTCAATTTTTTTAAATACATGGCTGAATTTGGCTCATAATCATGTATTGAGACACATTCAAAACCATTTTTAAATTTTTCTGAAAATTATTTACTGGATATATGCAAGAGATGACTTACAAGTAAAGTGTAATTGAATATAAAAACAGTTTTTAATTATCTGATCTAGTGTAAAGAATGATTAACTATTTTTTTTTATAATACCAGATATACTAAAAATATGAAATAGTGAAGAAGGAAGCAACCATATTATCACCTTATAGACAAACACTGTGGCAAGATGCTAGAGTCACTGATGCAGCCAAAGATACAAAAAGCAGTCAGGAACAGACTTTCACAACAATTATTACTTTTTGCTTCAATCCATCCCCAAAATACTTTTTATATTAACTTCCCAAGGTCATTTTTTGGGGGGAAGGAGGAGGAGAAAATAGGGAGACTGATAAAGGGGGTAAAATGAGAAATGACTGGGCAGGACAACTGCATTCCAGCAGCTTTTGCTAATTCTGTCTTTTTACATGTCATCAGGCTGTATTTCACATTGCAATTAATAATGTGGCAATTTCCAGACATTATTCAGTTGCCTTATTCATATCAATGCAGATATAAAAATATTTTCAAATATTTACAAATGCTGTTTTAAAATTTGTGTTGAGCTCACATTCTGATTGATTTTTTCCTGTAGTCGTTTAAGACCACAGCAAAGACTTCTCACAGAGAGTAAAGTTAAGCACATATTGTTAATCTTTGCAGGATTGTAGTCCAAAACAATATATCCTTTAATTTACTGGCATTAATTCTCTTCCAAAATACCAGGAAACAGGTCATTTTGTAGAGTAATAGTTTACCAAGTTTAGTTTTTAAAACCCTGTTATTTCTGATTTACAATTGCATGTTTAAATGTACAATAAAAATTAGTAACTTCTAAAGGGTCAGAGTAGGTGGTATGAAAGCTTACGAATATACAACATTGTCCCACATATAGAAAATTCAAATGTACAGGGCTTGACAAATTAGGCAATCTACTTGCCCATGGCGAGTAGATTTTAGCCCAGTGGGGCCGTGCAGTGTAGTCTGCACAGGCTCAGCGTGGTCTGCGCTGCCCTTGGCGAGCCCTTCAAATGTACACTATTAAACATATGCGTATGCAGCCAATTTCAGACTAGGATGTTAAATATTGGTTAATTGAATAGTTGATTAACCTTATGAATTGTTATCATTTACTCAACTATTCTATAGTCCCCGGGGATGGGGCCAGCAGCCAGTGTGCAAAATAACTTGGGACTACTAATACACTTTAAATGCAGAGCTGCAGTAGGGGTAGGTCCCAGACCCAGCACAAGCCAGGACTGAGCCAGGCTGTTGGCCAGCCTGCTAAAAAATTTACTGGCAGGGAGGGAGGGGGGAAGGAGGGAGTGGAGGAAGAGAAAGAATGCGTTTAGTGTATAGCACTAACCAATAAGCTTTTGAAGTTCTTTTAATTAATACAATACTGACATTTTTGGAACTGATCAACTAAGTCCTGTGGCAACTTTCAACTGAAGGTGCACCCACATACATGCAATAGCTAAATCTGACTATTTTAAATTGGCTTCAAAGCCATTTACAATTGTTGCAATGGAATTTCCTTAAACAAGATAAATGAAAGGGAAGGCAGAATGTCCTTTGTATTTACTGAACTAAATACACAGTAGCTGTATGTTTAGGAAAAAACGGTAAAAGCCAGTCTCCTACCTTTTCTAAATCTTCAATTTCAGAGCTGAAGTTTTTGCCCTCCTCCATCATTTCCTCCTCTTCAAGAGTTCTCTCATCATCATAGTCATGTACCAACATTTCAGCAGTAGGGTCAAAATCATGATCCTCCGAAGATAAAGAACCAACTACAAGAAAAGTAATTTGAATCACTTTACCATAATCAAAAAGATTCTTCAGGGGACAGCCGAGTTAGTCTGTACAGGATAAAAAAAAAAAAACACAACAAATGGTCTGGTAGCACTTTATAGACTAACAAAACATATAGATGGTATCATGAGCTTTCGTGGGCACAGCCCACTTCTTCAGATGACCAGCCCACGAAAGCTCATGATACTATCTATATGTTTTGTTAGCAAAATAGATTGTGTACAATCTATTGAATGAAAGGTCAATTCTCTCTAGATGTAAAGAGCATGTTTTCAGGTAGCTTTAACTGAGCCTCCATTTATATGTATGTGTACGGAGGATGCAATTTTGTACTCTGAATTTGAGCCACTTGGGAGATAGATCTAAAGAGATTGTGCTGGAACTGAAGCAAATTAGGTCAATTTCAGAAAGTCTAATCCTATCTACACTTACACACAGTGAAATGAACCACAAGATTCTTTAAAAACATGTAAAAATGAGTATTGCAATGTAAAAGATAGTTCTGATGCCAGACTTTAGATTTGATGGTGTAACTAGAAGCAGAATATCACTTGTGGAGCCCTATTGGACCAGAGACAAGCATATCTTTTCTTTGTTAGAATAGCCAGCACAGCTTCAACGCTATCCTGAAGAATCAACTTTTTTCTAATAGCAAAATAAATACTGAACACCTATTTCAGAAGAATTTAGTCACACGAATGAAACACTTCATTCAAATTCAATGCATTCTATGTAGTTTATTCCGAATGGAGGAACGAAGTCCACTGGCATTCTAATTCTCAAATAAGATGCATGAAAGATACAGCACAGACAAAAAGAAAATGACTACATTCATTATTAATTTCTTTGAAATATAATATAAATGTCAACTGTGTGGCCCAACAGAAATTGCTACATTATTTAAATGGCTTCCTATAATCATTTTTAACAATTCTGTTGCTTTACATTTTCTGGTTTAAAAACACTTCAATCACAAATTTTAGAAAGGATGCCATTAGATTCAAAACATTTTTTAAAAAAATAAAGTATGCTACACCACAAGACTACATTCAACACCACAGATAACTGAAACAAATAATTTTAAAAATCTAACCATTCACTATTCTGCTTATTCATTTATTATATTATTTCAAGCAGGGAAGGCAAACTAGCTATATATGCTTTTCCATTCTGTTTCACTTTCAGGTTCTTTTGCACTACATTGCAATTTTTTTATTACAAAAAGTGCTCAGAAATATGCAATTCATTATTTGTTTAATTTCTTATTCATTTAAGCATTTAATTTATTCATTTTCTGCTTTTAAATATCTATTATCTTTTTCAACACTGTTTTGTTTTGTGGATAATGAAAATAAACTTTCAATTTCATTTTCCAGTACTCATTAGAATAATATTGTTTGAGTCTGCAACACTTCAAAGAAACATTTCAAATCAAAAGTTGTTTCTTTTATTTGTTTTTAACAGTATCCATTAAAACTTGACAATTCATATTAGGACTTGTAGAATTCTCGAAATCTACAGAGCCTAAAACTAGGTGATATCCTTTTTTATTATATTTATTTAAATATAAATATTTAACTATATTTACATGTTGAATTTTAGTTGCATATTTAGAGGCTGCTTCTCCAGCTTCTAAAGAATTACTAGTATATAAGTTATGAAAAAATAATGTAAAATATAAGATGCTGTACATTATGGAAAACCATTGCCAATTCATAGATTCATAGAATCCTAGGGCTGGAAGAGACCTCAGGAGGTCACTGAATCCAGCCCACTGCCCAAAGCAGGACCAACCCCAAATCAATCATTCCAGTCAGGGCTTTGTCAAGCTGAGACTTAAAAACCTCTAGAGATTCCACCACTTCCCTAGGTAACCCATTCCAGTACTTCATCACCCTCCTAGCGAAATAGCTTTTTCTAATATCCAACCTAGTCCTACTCCGCTGTAACTTGAGACCACTGATCCTTGTTCTACCATCCATCACTACTGAGAACAGCCTCTCTCCATCCTCTTTGGAACCTCCCTTCAGTGAGTTGAAGGCTGCTATCAAATCTTCGCCCCCCCCCCAGCCTCTACTCGTAGGTCAAGTGCTCCAGCCCCCTAATCATTTTGGTTGCCCTCCACTGGACCCTCTCCAATGCGTCCACATCCTTTCAGTAGTGGAGGGCCCAGAATTGGATGCAATATTCCAGATGTGGCCTCAGTAGTGCCGAATAAAAGTGAATAGTCACTTCTCTAGATCTGCTGGCAATGCTCCTCTTAATGCACCCTAATATGCCATTAGCCTTCTTGGCTACAAGGGCACACTGTTGACTTATGTCCAGCTTCTCATCCACTGTAATGCCCAGGTCCTTTTCTAATGAACTGCTACCTAGCCAGTTGGTCCCCAGCCTGTACAACTCTAGAACGGAAAGGGACCTCAAGAGGTCATCGAGTCCAGACCCTTGCGCTCACGGTAGGACTGAATACCATCTACAGCAGTGTTTCTCAACCTTTTTTTTTTTTAAATAAAGTACCCCTTTTCAAAAAAAATAAAATTAGAAGTACCCCTAGTACCCACAGTTTTCAGACACACACAATTTTTTTCTACCATTGCAACACATTTGCTTAAAGAACTTAATCGTAGCCGGACAGGCGATGACATTTTTTGCTATAAAGTACAAAAATAATAAAGTACTATAAATCTTACAACAAAAATTCAGTTTTCTCCAAAATTCAGTTGTGAATTTTGATTTCTCTCAAGTACCCCTAAGAGTACTCATACCACTGGTTGAGAAACACTGATCTGGAGCATCCCTGATAGAGGTATGTCTAACTTGCTCTTAAATATCTCCAAGAGACGGAGATTCCACAACTTCCCCAGGCAACTTATTCTAGTGTTTAGCCACTGCTGCACTCTATTTTATATTCGTTTGTATAACTGTATGTAGAAAGCATATTCCATTTACAGTCTCTAAACAAAAATACTGTTTATTTACCTATCTTGGAATATGCAATCATGGAGCTAACAAAGTATTTTTATTTAGATATGTGAACATTTTATTTTAAATTAAAGTTTAACAAATATACTTAAAATGCAGTCAAATTATAAAGACTTTTTGTTATCAAAGATAAATTACTATTTGAGCTCATCTAGAGAATGATGATTTTTCAGGTACAAAGTAAGGTCCCAATCCTAAAAATACTTAAGCATTAACTTAAACTTACACATGAACCGTCCTCTTGAAGTCAATGCGAACAGCTGCATGTGTAAAGTTAAATGTGTATAATTTTTTGCAGAATTAAAGGCTTAAATGGGAGATAAATAATAATGCGGAATACTAAGATTAGGAAGGAAGACTAAATAATAACAAAAAAGGGTTTGAAACTTGCAGGTGACTAATTTTAGGAGCTTGTAGTTAAAGGATATCAGTGAACTGGTCACTCTCTTAACTCTAAATTTTTGTACTAAGAAATTGGCTTAGAAGTTGAAGTTGCCCGAACCTAACATGAGTATAGGGGACTGGATTTGATGGCATCTTGACCACCCTTCTAGTTCTATAATTCTAGGACTTCCAGAATTAAAGAAAAACAAAAACAAAAACAAAAAAAACCCCACCAACCAGCCACCACCAAGTTACACAAGACTAAATTATTGGGCAATTAGTTGAGACTATAGTGAGAACAACTATATAGCACATACCACCTGTTATCAGGCAGCAAACCAGAAACATGGAAATAAACCATTTAAAGTAAACTAACTGGGGGTGCAAAGGACTTTATAAAGAAGTAGAAAAACTTTTTGGTAAATCTTTGACAGAAGCACCTGTAACCCAGCCCGTACCAAACGCTTCCCAGCTGCTGGGACCACGGAAGGAAGAAAACAGGACAAACCTGGGCTCGAACTTCCAAAGGAAGCCTGGAAAATAAAAGAGAAAGAGACAGAGATGTTAGGTGGATGCGCTGCAAATGGAAATTCTTCTCTACAGCTAGAAGAACAGGTAGGTTTCTCTCATTTCAAGTTCCCGGTCCCAGCATCGCTCTCTGTCCTTTCCCCGGGTCTCTTCTTCCTCCATCTCCTGCCTCTCCCCCTCCGCCTAGGGTAGACGCCTCATTTCTCCTTCTCAGCGCTTTCCTTCAGTCCCCTGCCCTGCCCTGCCGCCCAATCCCCCTCTGCCCCCAGTCCGCCCGCTTGCTGTCTGTCCTCCGCCCCATCTCCTCCCTTCGCTCGCCCCCAGCCCGCTGCTTGAGAGGTCCCGGAGAAGTAGCCAGTCCAGTCACCCCAGCTCCCCCGGCCCGGCCAGGAGGTGACAGGGGCAGGGAGTGACGGAGGGAGCCGGACCGGCAACCGCCTCCCCGCCTCCCAGCCCGGGGCTCCCTCCTG